TATAAGCTTTTCAACTGTAAGTACCATGAATCAGAACTATCGACTCACATGGTCTTCATGTCTTCGCCTATGCATTTAAATAATTTAGATTATAATACTTTATAGATAAGCAAGCGATAAATTCTACTTATGCTAAATATATTTTTCAGATTTCTTTAATTTGTGTTGGCTTAATAGTCAACGTATATAAGTGTAGTGGCCTTACTTATATATCTAATTAAACTATATTTATTAACTAAGCCTTAAGGACTAGCCACTATTAGGGCATATATAAGTACACTTTAATTTATTAGATACATCTCGGATGCAATGGCCTTTATTTTTCAAGTAAATCTCACTTTAAGATGCATCCCAGAGGGCCTTTCCAATTAGAGTGAGTTTTACTTTAAACTATTCATCTTTCAACTATCTTTTCTCTCATTTAATCATATGAACATATCTTCGCACGATTTTTCTTTTAATTCAAATTTGGCTATGTACAAACTCAACTTAAATATATAATGTAACACATCCTTTTTCGGAATTAGGTAATATATATTAAATTTTGTAGACTTGAATGATCGGTATAATGGAAAGTCTAGCAAATCTTCTCCATTTGATCCTAGCATAAATTGTTCGCATCGCGTGGAATTGTGAAGAATCGTTCGTGATCAGCGATCAATGCCAATAGCACGGGTTGGAATCAAGATTTCTTGTACCTATACTTTGTCAATGATGGTCCTACTACGATTCTTTAAGTTAGGCTTAACTACATACTGCGAATTTTCAGATCTTTTGAACTATACTTACTTTCAGTTTATTCCTGTCACATAATTATCTAGTTATAATTTCATTAATTCTTAAGCTATCGTTTCATTCTCATGCAATTTCGTTCAGGGAATCTGGACCAGACAAGAGAGGCGGTATCAATGCTTCTTGCTAAGGTCGCTGAGGATCCACAATCCGCTAGCTGTCCAAACATTTCATATGCCGATGTGCCTGGCCCAGTGGCTAGCGCTTATCCAACTGGATCTCCCTACGCCATTGTACCTCCTCCAAATGCACAACACTCAGCACCAGGAGGCGCACCAGGTGTTGGTCTTGGCCAGACAGGCATTAATGCCGGTGTTGCTCAGCTAGGCTTCCCTCCGGGTCCCGCTGCTTCTACTCTTGGAGGCGTCAGCTTTGCTAGCGTTGGCTTAGGTCCACCTCATCCCGGCGATCTCTATGCTTCGCTGGGTGCGCAAACCCAGGGTGTTGGCGGTGCCAATACTTCTGGAGTAGGGCCAGGTCACAACCCGCTTTCCGGATTTTCTGGGGGGCCAGTTAGTGGTTGTCTGGGTGGTGCAAATGCCCCCGGGTCTAGTGGTGCGAACGCTTTGGCCGTGGCGGTCAGCGCCGCCATGAACGCAGCAGTCGCTGTCAGCAGGGCTGCACCTCTGTCTAATAATTCCTCATCAGCGATAGCATCTCAGAATGCTGGATCCGGGCCACAAGGCGCCCTTCAAACAGCAGCAGCGGCAGCTGCTGCAGCCGCTTCTAGAGCATTTACTGTTAGTGGAGTTAATAGTGGTATATCTCATTGCCGAACTAGCCATGGCTTACATCCTATATCCCAGTCACATCATCCTCACTCGCATTCTCACAATCAGCATCAGCAGCAGTCAGCTTTTGGTCTTTTGGGCGCTGCTACAAGCGGAGGCGGCAGTCCTTTGGGTGGCTTAAATGATTATACGGGGACTGGTCTGGGAAACCAAGCCTGTTCACCTACAGCATCTTCAGCAACCTCTTCGTCGGCCGCGACTAATCTAAGTCTGGACGTGATGCGCAAAGTTCTTCGTGCTGCTCAATATAGGTTTGCAATACAATCATATTATAGCCTAGCTTGTCATTTCTTTAAAAAGACAGGTTTTCTTAATCTTCTTACAGTCACACTGATATTCTAAGAACTCTAGATCTAAATATTATTTGTACCCACAATCTAATTTCATGAGTTTGGAGGTATAAATTATCCCATAATTGGAATCAACTATGAATAAGAATACCTTAGGGGAGACAATGCCAGCTAAAATTGATTAATATAATGAGGTCTCCTATTCAGTTTATTGTGTTACTTTCAACTACTAGGATTTTCACACCAAAAGCGACTAAAAGTAGTTTTTGTCCTTAAAATGAATACTTGTATTCACATTTTTTTGAATATTATGTGCCTAAAAAGGACTTGGACTGTCTCTAAAATATAAAACTTTCGCCCTCTTTAACTATCAAGATGGAGGCTCCGAAACGAAGAGAGAAAAGGAACAAATAGTATTTTTAACTGTTCTTATTTTTAAACGGCCGAAATACAGTATGTTGAAATTGACAATAGAAAGAATATCATTTAGAGATGGTGCCGAATAGAACAGTCTAAACCCCACGGACCAAGGCTGCGCGGAGAAAGAGAAGGAAAAGAACGTAACCGATTTTAATTGAATGTTAGCTATTTGATATACCATATAAACTTATAATTTGACGATGAAGTGCCATGCTGCGATTGAGCAACGCGAAATAAAGAGTCAAGATTAGTCGCACACTCACGTGATCTCTGTGGCAAAGGATGTTGAGCCATGGCTACCTATGGGATGTAACAAAAACTAAACATTGAATGAGAGAGGTGTGGGGATAGATCACTACAACTGAAAATTGAAGTTCATTACATGCAGATATTTTAGAAATGACTAACTTAAGCCTATACAAATCTATTGATCTCTGCGTATTGCGTGTATAAAATGTTTTCGTAAATTTTACAGCAATTTTATATTAATATAGTGGTTGTTTGACCTTGTTTTCGCAACTTTGTCTTATTGATAGGAAGACCTAGAGGAACGCACATAGTCCGTGGTACATTCCCAGACGTCTCGCCGGCATCGTCAGTGAGTCTCACCATTCTTAGCACCATACAACAACTCGTCAAAGATATAAGTGAAGCCGATCCTTTGCTCAGACTTGTGCTAAACTGTCGTGGTATCTCCTCTTCTGTCTTGGACTATTCACATTTCCTATATCCTTCTATCACACCTTCACTGTGACAATTTTTTTACCGTGCTTATTTCGATGTAGTGTGGTGTGCTCCTCCAAGTGGCATCATGAAAACCCTTCGCACTTTATGCTGTCGTTCCTACTCCCTTCACTCTTGTGCTGGGATTGTTGATCAGTCTGCAATATTGTTACACAGTCCTCCTTCCCTAGGTCTTATCACAGTCTCTCTCTTGCTCTGTTAGATCCGTCTGCTATATCCCTGGTTCACGTATTTCACTCGACCCCTAATACCCCACCTGTGCTACTCGAGGCGTCTGGGTGACTAATTCGAGGCTCAAGCCTCTGAGTAAGGCTCATCGTCAAGTCTTTGGTGCATAGACCACATCTATGGTACAACAGACCTACTGTCAGCCAACTAGCTCCAGTCTACGCCGCGTCTATCCAGTCTCTATCTCTAATACCAAGTCTATTACTTGCTATTCCTTGTGTGCTAACCCACAAATGTTGTGGTACTGCTTGCTTTGATTTGGTTCAATGTTCAATGTTGAACCACAACGTTTATGGGTTGGTTCACAAGAGACTAGGGCAGTGGTTCCCAAACTTTTCCTAGTCGCAGCGCCCTTTTCCAATTAAAATTTTTCCATTACACCCTACCCTAAGTATGACTATTCGTAAGTAAGAGATAAAAAAAATAAAACTCGTATATCTTCATTATTTTATTTGCTTTATTAACATTAAATTAATATTTAATAATGAATGTGATGGATGAACTTGCAAATCACTACACATTTTCTCAGATTGAAGCATTTAAA